TTCTTCTTCTCGTCGGTCATGCTCTTCTTCTTCGATCAAAGTTTTCTCTAATTTTAGGGTTAGCCATTTTGTGGCTCTGATACCATGTTAAAGTGAAAACTTATTTCATTCATTAACCAAGATTACAATATATATGTATCGATTAAACCTAAAATATAATATTACTCCTATATATCATAGTTGGGCCGTATATGGGCCTCGAATAAGTTCCTCTGGAACGCAGCCAAAATCAGCCTCATGGCCAACGACGGCATAATTTTTAACGAGACTCGAACCGTTAACCCACTTGGGTTCATGAGGAAAACTCCTCTAGCTGAGTGTCCTCGACCCTTCAAGGAGCTAGGCATTGTCCCTGACGTCATATTTTGAGCGATTCTCATTAACTTATAACGACATTAATTTTTGAAAAAGAACAAAAAAAACATTAATTTTTGAAGGAAATCATATTTATATTTTCTTTCTTATTGATGTATGTACGGATACGCGCGTCTACGATGACTTTTTTTTTTTTTCGGCAAACAAACGATTTTCATTAAAACAAACGACACGTGTGTACTAGCTTGATTATTTCTCAACACGTGGCCAAGGACCAGAAGCATCAGAAATCTTCATCACCGGAACAGAAAGAAATCGACATCGGAATTCCACCGCCGGCTTTGGTCATCAAACTCGTGTCTAGCATCGTTGTACCGCTTCCACCTTCCTTTCCTCTATTTTCACCGTAGCTAAGAGATGAGAAAACCCCAAACCACCGGATCTAAAACAGAGAGTATCGCGAAGGGAGAACAAATCTCGGGCATACGCCACACAAGACATGTCTATAATCCCTTCCGAAACTCCCAAGACACAATTCTCAAAACCTCAGTAGACACGTTGCCTATATTTCAAACCCATCTATGGGAGACAACGATTTACGCTACTAGGAAAAGAAGATCATGGATGTGGTGAGATGAAACCGATACAAAAGCTAGCAGATTAAACCAAAATTAAAGCAGAAGGAAGGTATAGACACACCGAACTAAACATACAAAATCCGGACAAAGCCGAAAACCGAGTCCGAAACTAAAAGAAACAAAGGACAAAGAAACTATAAACATATGAACA